TGAGTTCGATTCCCAGTACCGGGGGTGGGGGTAGAATACAGCTACTCTCTCTACCAGACAAAGCCCTCTCAACTCAAGCAGTAGATTAGCCGTTTGTCCTACCATCAAACCAATGTATGGAGCTCGCGCCGTGTACAAGGCTGCACCCTGTTTATGGTGAGGATAGAAATGGCCAAGATAGGGCTTCTGTTCTCAGGGGCCACAGAGAGAACTCGGATGCCTTGTTCTGGTGTGGACAGACAGTCCCTACAGGGGATCTACACTTGCTGTCTCCACAACCCCGCCTTCAATGTTCTGTTTGACCTTTTTTTTTTTTTTTTTTTTTTTTTGAGACTGGGTCTCACTGGGTAGTTCAGGCTGAACTTGAACTCACTATGTAGCCCAGGCTGGCCTTGAACTCACAAAGAACTTCCTGCCTCAGCCTCCCGAGGGCTGGTATTACAGGCGTGCACCACCACGCCCGGCTGATTTTGTTTGTATTTATTTATTTATTTATTTACACAGTCTCACTATGTAGTTCAAGCCAGCCTCGAACTTACTATGTAGCCCAAGCTGGCCTTGAACTTACAGCGATCCTCCTGCCTCAGCCTCCCAAGTGCTGGGGTTACAGGTGTGCGAGCCCTCACCCGGATGACCTTTAATGTGTTCTTCAGTCTCTTTTGATAGGGTTTTGTCGTCACCCCTCCACCTACACTGCTTTGGTCATGCCCACCAGTGATCTCTTGATTTGCCAGATCGAATATTACATGTTTTTTCATTCTGTCTCTCAGCGGGGCGCCCCCGTCCCTGATCCCAGCTCAGGAGCCACCCTTGCCAGTTTTCCAGAGTCCTCTTCTTGCCAGCCCAGCCTTGGGTCCGCTCTTGTCTATGTATATTCGCTCTCCCTAGGTGATCTCATCCAGTCTCATGGCTTTAAATACCATCCCTATACGGGTGACTCACAAATGTATATTTCCAGCCTAGACCTCTCACTGGAGCTCCGACTCCTATATCCAACTTCCTGCTTGATATCTCTGTGTGTCCAAAAACATCTCACACGCATTAGCTCATACGAGGCTCTTGATTCTACTCCAAACCCACAACCTTTGTGCATCTTCTCATCTGCACACATGGGCCCACTACCCCGCTAGGTGTTCTGCTCACAGAAGTACAGGGATCATCTCAGATTCCTCCCTATCGCACACCTGACAAGCCCTACTGAAGACTGTGGCTTTTTTTTTTTTTTTTT